CATCTCAAAAGAAATACTTTAATTGTAAGTAAGTTAATTTAAAGTATATTGCACACCAGTTTTTATTTGAGTTTTTTAATGCCCATTAATTTGTATTGCATGAGTGTTGTGATTAATAAACAATCTTTGATTTTTATGTTTGTTTAACTAACGCCTCATTAGGGTAATAATTAGTGATGTCAATGGGTACAGTTTTAATAACAGTAGATTTAAATAACCATTAAGAACGGAAGAAGAGTTGAGTGTGTATAAAGAAAAAAAAATTCATTTTATCTGATATCCTCTAACTCAAAAAACATTATTTCATAATAAAAACTTTTTCTCTCTCAAAAAATAAGAAATTACTTTTAAATTTTAAAACAGGGTATAAAAAAATTAACAATAACTCCTTCGTAATAATAACCCCCTCAAGTACAAGTACTTCAAATTCAGTTTATAACTATTTCTTACTACTTTTGTGTGCTTTGAACACTACAACTGTTTAAGAAAATAAAAAATAGAGGATTAATCAAAGAAATAAAATACTTTATTTCTATTTATTATTCATATTAATATTTTGTATAAAAGAATGAATGATTGGTTTAGTTATTTGATAATTTATTTGTTATAGTTTGTTTAATATACGTCTCATTAAATTTTGATTTAGGTATTCACAAATTGGTTGATACAAATACTTTTTTTCATGAACCAATTTAATAATATGTATTGTAAAAGTAATGTTTCTTTAATAAAAAATTCACTAAATTTTTGTTATTATTAAATAACAAAAGATTACTGGTAATAATTCCAGTAGTAGAAGTAGGAAGTATGAGTGTAAAGTTTAGTCAGTGTTAATACAGTAAATAAAAATTATAAATATATCTTAATAATATGATTTATTTTGAGTAAAGGAAGTAAAATATAATTTTCATTATTCCTCTTTTATATTATTTTATTATATTTTTTATTTTATTCTTTCTTCAAATTAAAATAATAAAATGAAATGATTATAATCATATTTATTCTTTTATTTCTTATTCTTTTATTCTTTTTATATTAATTTGTGTTAAATTGATGTTGTGTATTATTAATAATCTGTTAATCATTTAGATTTTCATTTAATCTATTTTATGAATGTAAATTAAATCATTTGGTGGTTTAGGTTGTTTTAATTGATAAAAATATGAAGTATTAATATTTCATATATCTTTATTTGTTATTCTTATTGCATATTTTAATTCAACAATTGTCATCTTTTATTCACTAGTTAATGCAGGAATAGTATTTGATTTTATTGTTTTCATGATGTTTTTCATATAATTAGTTATTTATTCTCTTTGTTTTATTCTTATTCATTAATCACTAAAATGAGATGTAACAGATG